GTAACATGCAGGCTGGGTCGGGTATACAGACGTTTTGTTGACACTGACCTAAGTCAATTCTATTTGCTGTAAATAATTTTCTGTGCACTGGGGAGGCCGGCTAAATAAATTATCCACACTAAAAGACCTTACCGACTACGCCTGTGTTTGTTGTCCGGGAGAGGGTTAAAAGAGGACCCCGCGACAGATAGCATTTTACATTTCCAATAAGTAGGATTGTGGGTTTGTGACTTACACGCAATTTAAAATTAGTTAGATATGACAGTGTGGTTGAACCTGATGCTTATTTTTGTCATGTGTATGGCACGCAAACAGAGCTGACATTAACCACAATGTCATCAAAACACCTCCTACCCTAGTTCTCAGAAAAAAATAATCTCATGACCACAGTTCTCAGACCACTAAAATATCTTGTCCGTGTTATCCTCTATAAAACATTAATGTGTTACATCTAGGAGTCAAATATGGTTTAGAAGTTCAACTCCCTCATAGTTACGTGTGCTGTCCGTCATGCCATGAATCCTGCTGTTTAAAAAGCAGAAATGTCAATTTTCCCAAAGAAGCACACATACTGTATAGTGACACACTTTTGTACTAGCTGGTTGAGTATATATGGTTAAAGGATAGAAATACCCTCATTATATTGTGTCGTAATGCTAATTTTGAAATATAAAAGTAATGCATGGTCGATTCATTAGAGACTAGTTCTGAAACAAAACATTTATATTCTTAAAATGTATTCATTCATCAATATTATGCTAAAAAAAATACAGTGTGAATTCGATTTAAACAGGATATAAGTTTAAACTGAACAAAATGAAGACGTTAATGTGATCTGCCTAGACTGAAAACCACCAGTCACAATGAGGTGGAGACAGGAAGTAGGCTGGATTCTACACTTGTCTTGAGACACAAGTACAGCGACATTGAGACTTGAGATTATAATAAAGAAGAAGACAAAGAAGCACAATGGTTGAATTTGCAATATTTAAAATTCTTCTTATTTTGATGCTTCTATTTACAGGTAAAGAAACATATTTAAAATATGTATCAAACCTATACTGACATTGCTAATGATGGTTCAGGACGTAATAGTCATGTAACTGAAACTGTTTACTATTTTTAGTTAACACGATGAGTTTAGGAAATTCTTGAACCATGTGCATTTTATATATATGAATATAAAATTATGCCCTACATACAATATAAAAGCTGTGTTTGAGTCTAACGTTATCATTTTCATTTATCTACTTTTGTCACCAGCAGTTACTCAAATGACCAAATTAAGCTCTAAAGTTGGAGGTGAAGTCACGTTGCCTTGTGTAAATGGAAAAGATTTTCACAATAGCTATAACAGTACTACTTGGCTCTTCAGTGGTTCAGGAAGCAATGAAACAGTGTCACTGTTTGAACATGGGCAGTTTAACGGTGGTCTCAGAGCTAAATCACACAGGCTGAGTGTTACACCGGACTATTCTCTGATTATAAAGCAGGTCACATCAGAGGATGATGGTCATTACACCTGCAGACAGTTCAAATCAGGAGAGCAATTTACAGACTCTTTGGTTTACATGTCTGTTATTAACAGTGAGTATTGACATTACTGTTTTCACCTTTAACTGCTTTGTTACAGCGCACTCAAAGTACAGTAAATAAGTACATTATCTTGGCCTATGCTGACACCTGTATATTTAATGAGAGCTTAAAAAAAATCAAGGAAAAATCTGAACATTAACGCCTACAGTGAGTGGGTCTAATAGCTCATTTATAATCATGGATAAGTTTTCTGATCTAATTAAGCTCAATATGTTCCCCTCCATGATTCAGTATAAAGATAAAACATTAGTTTTTATTCTTTACAAATGATTTAAAATAAAAAATGTGATGATTTCACCAGTCTGGTCTATTTGTTCTGTTTGAGTGATTTACAGTACAAAGTACTGCATATCTTATAGTACAGTAGTGCTGTTGCATACAAGTGAGAATATGATAAAAAGTTTGAAGAGATTTCATACTGAATTGTTTTGTTTTTATATTGATAGATTTGTAATTTTTAGACCCATTGTTTTTTGTTTAATGACTGTAGATAGTAAATGTGTATATTTTCTCACTGGATTTTTTAACATTTCAGAAGGGGACACAACAAAAGGAATAATTACATCAACAACAACCAAAACTGCAATATCAGCAAATGCCCCTAAATCTAAAAGCGCTACATCAACCACAGAACCAGAGAAACCCTCAAAAACAGGTACAGTGTGAGCATCTAAAAATTAAAACTGTATGTGTTTATTTAATAAAAAAGCTGTTTCTGAGTAAATAATACAGATCAAACCATCACCAAAAACAGGGTTAACATTACTCTGGTAGCACATTGTCTCAATAAGGCAAAATGTTTTTTAAAAAACTAAAAATATATAAATTATTTCCACAATTTACATAGGCTGGAAGTAGCAGTCTTTTTTTTAGCAAGCCCTATCAACACTTGTCAAATCTTATGAAATACTGACAGGCAGTGCCACGTGCTGCCATATTGCACAGGTGCAATTAGAGCAATAAGAAAGGGTATCTCTCTCGCTCTCCCATTTAGTGAAAATACACTGGATATAAATCATTTACCATGTTGATAACTGGTTCATTAAATACATAGTATAGTAATTAATAGCTATATTTTGTTAATTTCTGAATAAAATTTTTTTCCAGTTCAAACCAAACACATGCTGATCATTTTAGCGGGTGGTTTTCTAGTACTCTTTATAATCCTGGCACTCATTGGATGGAAGAGAAATAAAAGTGAGAACACCCCATTTATATTTGAGAAACACAAATATTTTTTTAAATAAAGTTGTTGGACTTAAATTGTTGTTGTTGGAATTCCCTATTTTGTCTTTTTAGGGAACAAAACACAGAAGAGTGATGAAATTGTGAGTTTTAAACTGAATAGTCAAAGATGTTTATACAGCGAGGACTTCTTTCTCTGTGGCTATAACATCACTTTATTTTAAGTATCAGTGGTTTAAATGAAAAATATCTAACAACCTCTATTTGTTCAGGAACTGAGAATGAATTACTGCGGTATACCACAAACCAGTCAGAAGGGGGTGAGATCACACACCAGTGCAAATTACACCTGTTTCATATTTTACTTATGATATATTTATCCTCTAACACACACACATAAATGTTTATAAGGAATTTGAAATCTATGTAAAACTGATATCAAAAGACATTTTTTTCTCAGATTATATTTGACTGAGCTATACTCTTTAGGAACAAATATATTTAAAAAAAAAAAAAGTTTCCTGTTGCCTAAATGCAACTTCACAAAAAATGCAAATGATTAAAAAATGTGTCACCTTTTTTGAATGGTATTGGAGTAAAAGTACAAAATAGTTTGAAAATGGTAAAAAAAAAGTATATACTATAAATGTACCTCTAGTAATTGACTAATGAGGTGTATTTGAGTATTTATGTTTCAACAATTAGAATTTGCTGTGTATAATTGTGTTGAATGAATAAAAACTTACATTATGCGTTAGGATTTGTGTGTGTGTGTGTGTGTGTGTGTGTGTGTGTGTGTGTAAAACCCCTACAGTAGATTAAATCAAAGCAACAAGGGTGCAATGAACAAAAATAACACATCTCACACATGTTTGAAATTCATGAAGAACAAAAAAAGTATAAAAAGTAATGACTTCACCAGTCTGGTCTATTCAACTATTAAACTAGACTAGTTTATTGTCTCAAAAAAATCCAAAATTTTTAAGTATGTCCCTCTAAAATAAATAATAGATAATATCTATCTGCAATCATTACTTTTGAGATTTAAATGTCTATAAATTCAATCTAGAAATCTTTCTGAATCTGCACACTAGGAAATACTAAAAAAAGGCACAGGTTAATTACAAGAAATTTGATATCAAAAATATTAACATATCACCTCTGGTTATTTTTAATGTCTAGGCTAATCCTGCAGCTGATGTTTCCTATTCCTCCATCAAAAAGACCAGGAATAAAACCCGGGTAAGTACCAGTATTGGTCAAAAACAAATCACAGCAGCAAAAATTTTGTATAGATATTTTTTGATTTCCGATGACTGAAAAATTATGCAGTTTTTTTATGTGTGTATTTATTATGTATTTATGTGTACATGTGTGTGTGTGTGCTGCTTTTACAGGTTCAGAGTAATGACCATAAAGATGTTGCACTGACTTTCTCCACCTTTGGCAAAGCCTCCAATAATGATAACAGGATCTACATGAACATGAAAAGCATACAAAAAGCCAGGGGCAGTTATTTTTAATGATCAGAATATGCTTTATATTATTTGATATTACTGTGATGATCATTTAGGAACCTACATAAATCCTTTTTTTTCCTAAATGATTCATAAAGACAAATTTCAAAAATCAAAACAAAAAACAACAACTTATAATTGTAACATTTTTTCTTTTTCGGACATCTTATGTTTAATAAAAAAAATGAGATATTATCTGTCAATTTACTTTGCGTGATCTGAATTCCAAACTTTGCTAACAGCCAAAACATTTTACACTTTTAATTTTTTTGCTATATTTTGAATAAATATTTATATTAATCAGTGGCGGGGCGTGGCCTGCAGTGCCGCTGCAAGAGAGGTGGTCACACCTGAGCGTCATCCGCAATCACGCCTCGCTGCCTTAAAGTCTGTGCTGTCTCTGCTGTTGTGTTATGTGTCGGGCTGTGTGCTGGAAAGCTAAACCCAGCTGCATGTGTACAGCAACTTGTGTGAAATTGATCAACAAAGAGAAGCTGTAAAACATGTTCATGCAAACATCGTCGGGTCTGCCGTGATATCTTTACAATAGGACTTCTGCTCCTGAACCTCTGCGCACAGCTTCTGCAGACTGGGGCTGTACAATGTCACTTTCATCTTTACGCAGGACTGTAAGCTGTTGTCTGTAAGGCATGAGTGGTTTTTGTTTTTATCATTGTTCACGGTGGGGAATAGCTGCTCAAATACGTATGTGGATCCGAAGATCGACAATCCACAAATTAGGCATACTGTTAGGCCGCTCTCGTCAGAAGTAAATAAATCTGCACAGGCATCATTACATCTTCTAATGATGTAATGATGCACAACCCTCTTGAAGCAGGGAGTAAAACGGTGGGGCTCACTAGAAGTGAGAGAGCACATGGTACAGCAGGGTGCTTATAATACATGATGGAAGAACAGCAGCACAAACTTCTCAGTCTGAGAGTTGTTTAGTTAACTGGATAAACTGGTTTAGATACAAAGAGGGAGGGCAGCATAGGCTCCCTGTGCCACGACTGAAAGAGCTGAACCCCAAGATGGACCTAGAAAGCAGATAAAGACCGAGATGCAGTTGATGTGCACAGCGTTTATTTACAATACCAAGGTAAACAGTGGAAGATTGCAACATGCGACTATTTACAACAGTGAGAGACTGTGGAGATATTTACAAGAATGTGACAGGAAGTGCAACAGTGAACAAAACTAGAGAATAAACAAATACATGGGGATCAATGGCTGAGAACGATTGAGGCACGATTTACACACACTATTACAAGGAATATGAAGTGCTATATACACACGCTATGACTATAACCCTGAATAGGAAACAAGACACTAAATCTACATCAGGGCTGGGAATGGAGGCTGTGGGCTAGAGACAGAGTTAGAACCTGAGGGGACAGAGGTAATGAGCTGGTGTACAGGGTCATTGATGGCAGGTAGGGATGGGTATTGTTTAGGTTTTATCCGATACCAGTACCAAACCGGTACTTTTGAAACGGTGCCGGTGCTTAAACGGTGCTCGAACTGGTGTTTAAAGAATGGAGAACACAAACTTTGTCCAAAAACCTCTCATAGTGTCAGGGGTTGACATTTGTAAAAGCACAGTAAGAGAGAAAATGAGACACTGGCAGACCGACTCAGAGTTTCAAATGTACGTGCACACGGGTGGCTGCCTCTGAGAAGACAGACACCCCGAATGCAGGCTGCTTGCTTTATTTATAAGGCAAAATGGGTTACATAGTACTTCCTCTTTCAACTGTCAGAGCAGGGGTCAGGCATTATCTCAGCTTATCTAACCTTGCACACATATTCTGAAAATAACTGTAGGAGTATATCATGCTTATCTGACATCACATGCTGAGGTGAGGAACACAAAGTATATCATGACTTGTCAAAACATCTTAAACACT